ACATAAACAGTGATTTAATCTCTCAGAACACAGGAGGTGCTGGTCTACTGCTGCCTCCATCTGTTAGTGTGTTTGTGTGATAGTTTGACTTTAGTGAATCTGAACTCACATTTAAAACACCAAAATCACAAACTAACAGACAGTCAACATTCTCTTTTAACCTCATCTGCAGTCCAAATCATAAACTGTTTCTTTTTACTTTTAGTTCACGCTGCTGCATTCAATTAGGATGAACTTTGTCATAACATGTCAGCTTTAACTTTAACCCTCTCACTCATATCTGCTGCTCAACAGGATTGTGGGTCAGACTGTACGAAGCGGACGTGACGTCACTCGTTGGTTTGTATGGTCTTTTACGTCTTCAACGTTTTTACGCTATTTGTTTTGTACGTTTTTTTGTTTCATATAAGCGACCATAATAGTTAAACTATGTCACAACCACACGCGTTAGAAATATAAAAATTTACATTCGTGTCAAACTACCTTTTGGGGAAAAACTAGCTTCGATTTACATCCGGCTTAACGGCGCTGCGCAAAAATATTTCATAATAAAAGTCATGGAGAGAATAAAATCTGGTGTACCGTTGAGTTTTCATTTTGTATGCTACATTTCTTATATGGTCTATGTTATATTATACATACGTTGTTGTATCTTTACGTTATGGCAAACATAAGTGATTTGTATTAACTCATAAGTACATCGACTTTTAAACTGACATCTGCTTACCGGATGTGTTTTTAGGACTGCTGCGATTGGTCTATACGAAAAGGCTAACTTTCATGTTCAGGCAACTGAAAGTGAACTGAATGAGTTAACGTTAGGACAATGGAGAAGGTGTTATGTGATGTCCACGGTAAGTCTCTTAAAGTTAAAGTTAGCTAACTGTTTGTTATAGAATATAAAGGTTAATATTGTGTGTAACTCGTCCTCTATGTCCACATACAGGCAGCGTGTGTATGTTAAAAACGGGCGTTAAAGACGGACCAAATAAAGGCAGAAGCTTCTACGTCTGTGTTGACAAGCAAGGCTGTGACTTCACTCACGTGGCCCGGTGAGTGAAAGTACTGACGTCACCCTATGAGACCGATTTAGAGACGATGTGTGGGGGGGCTTAGTTCAAGGGTGGACACAGGTACCCTCCACTGCAGGGATATGATCATAAATCATCGTTATGAATAAATAAAGAAGCCTTCAGAATACTGTAGTCCAGCCCAAAAAGTGTCCAAAAATCTGGTTCCTCCAAGTAGAGATTGAGACCAACTCTGTTTATCCAAACATGAGTTATATACAGTTGGTTTGTTTGCTTTGTCTTCACTTTTAATGTAATCACATTCCAGTTTGAATCCGCTCCAGTCAACTATTACTTCATACCAGCTGGGTACGAGTCTGACAATTGCTATTGTCAAAACATAACTGGTTTAATTTCCTGTTTTTGATCTGCATCATCATTATCGTCTCCTCCAGAATCTCCCCGTCCCACTGCCTCCAACATGAAGACTCGATGGTGGAGCTCCAGGCTCTCACCTACAGTCTACAACAGCAGAGCCACAGGTGGATTATTATTATTATTGTTATTAAATGTCTGAAACAGGTAATGAAGAAGTCATTGCTGTTGCAGCTTTACATTTTATGCTTGTCTCCAGCTCATCTTGGTTGTGTTGGACGTTTGGCCTCTCAGTGCCATCGTGAAAGTGTCCTCGTACAAATACTTGAGAGTCAACATAGAAAACCTCCTTTAGCTGGAAAACACACTTTGATAACTTGTGCAATAGATGAAGCACATTATTTACTAAGACAACTGTGTGTGCAATGTCTCTTACTGTATGTTTTCTGATGGTTTTATGTCTGTGATGTTTATTTATTTAAAGCAACAGACTGCAGCACTGTGTCCAATGCAAACTTCCCCTTCATGGACAATCAACGTTTAGCTATCCATCTATTCTCCTTTTCCAGGTTGTACTACAGATGCATTGTGGGTAAAAAAGCAGCCCAGAAGTGGTGTGGAAACGTTCCGTGGACTGCAGTAAGACACCATACACACTTTTTATTATTTATATACATTAAAACACTTTTATCTCTTCAAATCATCACACACTCATGTTCAGAACTTTATGTAGAATGTTTGTCACAATCCCAACGTTTCAAAAGAAACTGTGGGAAATTACTTTAGAGATATAACTGGACAAATAAACACCATGAACTCCACAGTTTGAGTCCAGCCAGGAGTCTCATGTTCCGCTGTCTCTCTGCTTCCCATTTTTAAAGTATCTGTCCTCTTCCATCATTGCAGCCCGAGAAGGAAAAGAGAAACCCTCTATCCGACACGCAGCTGCAGCCATCTTGCCTGCCGCCCGTCCGAAACCCCTTCAAAGCCTCCGGCAAGATGGACGAGGACTCTGAGTGGAGGAGGATGCAGCGTGGTGGGAGCGAGGAGAAGAGGAACGAGGAGAAGAGGAGCGAGGAGAGAGACGGCGGGGCGAGTCACAAGGCCGAGGGAGGAGAAAGTCGTCAGAAGGAAAACTCGGCGGATTCATCATACCGAGGCAAACGACTTCCACCGGGGATGAAGGTAAAGAAGAGAGTTTCAGATGAGGAGAAGAGTCCCAAAGCTAGCGGTGTGGAGAAACTGACCGATAAAGTGAAAGACAAGACTGAAGAGAACCACACTGAGACGGGAAGAGCAGGAAACGTGGTTTCTACCTCCAGTGTCAAGGCTGTTCATCCAGAGAAAAAGAATCCAGCCTCACGGGATCCTCACAAGGACTCAACTCAACAACCAACCGAGGGTGGAACCGGTCTGGTTGAACAAACTACAAAAGAGAGCGTCTCTAAATCTGCACCCAGGAGCAGCAGAGACTCTGATAAAACCAGGAAGTCCAGTCCAACCCAAATCCACCAAGTCGACGATGACGACGACGACGATGATGTCGTGGTGGTGTCGGTGAAACCCGCTGCTCAGAAAACTCCTCCTGTCTCTGCCGTTCAGAAGACGCTGACCGCCTTCGCTGGGTTCCAGCCGGCGTCTAAAGTCAAGGGTCAGCCGGAAGACCTGCACGACCTCCACACGGCTCAGCTCCAGCAGAAGAAGGTGAAGGAAGCGACACGTCATTACCTCGTTGTGTCCAGTCAGATGTGTCAGAATGGTCTTTTATCTGGTAGAAAGTCTCTTAGTACTTATAGATAGTATTTAGTTTAGAAGATGGAGAACAAAACACTGTTCAATGGTTCAACCAGACCGACAGCTTAAAGAGACATTACATTACAGTCATTTAGCAGACGCTTTTATCCAAAGCGACTTACAATTCAGAGTCTATCACATTTCTACACCGTAGGCACAACCAAGGGAGCAATTTTGGGGTTAAGTGTCTTGCTCAAGGACACGCAACTAGCAGAGCCGGAGCCGGGGATTGAACCGCCGATCCTCTGATTGAAAGACGGCCCTGCTATCCACTTAGCAGGGCCACTTAGTTCACAGTCCGTCCGTCTCCCCCCCCCCCCCCCCCCCAAAGATCAGTCTGAGAAACAGTTGAATTAAAAGAGAAGAAATCAGCAGTTATTGGTGAGAGAAACTGGAAGCTTACATCTGATCATTTTGCACTAAAGTTCTTAATAAAAAAAGAGAACTTTTCATTTTTCAAGTGTTTAATTCACACAAAATATACTGAAACAGGCTTTACCATGTGGTTACTTTATATACTATGTATACATATATTGAAATACCAGGAAACATGCTACATCATTATACATATATATGTATATTACATATATATGTATATACTGTATATGTAATACCTTTTATACCTAAGGTATATATATATATACCTTTTGGCCATATCTCCTAGCCCTATGAACAACTTCCTGTTTCACAATAAAGAACCCAAAAACAAGCTGGTATTAACAGGCAAACGTCACAATAGAAGGTTAGTCTGAGGTTAGCACTGTTGGAATATCAGCTGAATGAATCACAGTTTAGACCTCTTCAGTCAGAGAGACTCGCTCAATATTTCCAGTTCAATAATGATCTTCTTTTGTTTGTTCCTCCCGTGAAGGCGACTCTGTCGGTGGTGAACGTGGCGGCTCTGCCAGATAAAGGGGAGCGTCTGAGGACTCAGGTGAAAGATCTGGAGGACGCTCTGGAGTCTCTGAGCCTCACTGCTGCTGCTCAGCCTGGTAAAGCACTCACTTAATACAATTAATATTATTATTACAAGTTTCTGAGTTGATTTTGAGTTACTTTCCTGTACTTAACATACAATAAAACTCATCATCACTAAAATACAGAAATGAAGAATGATAAATATCAAAGCTCTATAATATTCTAAACGGGGTGAAACAGTTGAATGTACGTTGATGTATAATCTCTTTCAGGGTCTCAGGATGGAGGTGACGGCGGTGATGCCGGTCTGGGTAGCAGCCAGGTGAACCCTTTCAGCCGGCAGGGCGGCACCATCCTGCTCCCGGCCCCCCCAGCACCGGGCCCCTCCCAGCACCAGGCCTCCAGCAGCTCCCTGGGGCTCCAGCTGAGTCAGGGGTCCACACAGATGTATGGAGGTAGGCCGAACACGGAGGTGGAGGACACTTCTGTCATTGGTTTGGTTTTGGGTTTTTATTCAAAAACATTAAAACCTATGTATTTTAAATCTACGATGGCTTGTTAAGGCCCTGGGTAGAGAGTTATGATTCCTAGAAAAACTCAGTGTATTAAAGTCAGAAAGAAAGAGAACTTCAATATTCTCTGGGATTATTGAATCATAAATATGCGAAATTGTAAGAAACCTTCAGCCACTGTCTGAATTTTGTTCCTTCTACAGTGGAGTTATTACAGTAAGGATGATATTATTTCTCTTACTACATTTCTCTTATTGTGTAGTTATTCTATGAACATGTGTTTTGTACTTCATCCTCATGTTAGACCTGTTGAACGTATCATCTCACCAATGAGTTATCAGATAAATCCTAAACATTGCTGTTTCCAATGTCCTCTTTTTCACCACAATGGCTCTAATATTCCGTTGTAAAAATCCAAATATTAATCTCTGGATTAATTTTGTCTTTTACTGCTTTTTATTCATACAAACACCTTAAACTCTCAGTGCTTCATGTGTTTCCCAGCAAACCCAGAGGTCCAGGCCTTTTACGGAGGCAGGATGACCAACGACCGTCTGCTGGCGGTGAAAAACGCGACATGTGAGACCATCGACCATCTCCACAAGTCCATGGAGTCCTGCCCCGACGCTGAGGCCGAGGTCCCGGACCCCAAAGGCATCAAGGTAACACCTCATCATGTCCTCTTGTGATTGGTCCATTACTGTAATAACATGGTCCTCTTGTGATTGGTTGTCAGGTGTTGCTCCTGGCCCATCAGAAGAGAGCGTTGGCCTGGCTGCTCTGGAGAGAGAACCAGAATCCCTGCGGAGGAATTCTGGGTAAGTTGACCGTTCTTATTAAAGATGAAGATGAGATGGAGTTGGTTTATTATCTCTTCACTGGTGAAAATAAGCCTGTTATTGTGTTCTCTCTCTCCAAAAAAATATAATGCTTTTATTTTAGATTATTTTCATTATCTTTAATCTGGTGTTTAGTTTCTAAATGAATCGTTTGGTCTATAAAATGTCAGAAAATAGTGGAAAAAAACCATCCATCCCAGTTTCTCAAAGTCTAATGTGATGTCTTCAAATGTCTTGTTTTGTCCGAAATCCCAAGAAATTCAGTTCGATATGAAGTAAAACGGCAAAAGCAGGAAATCTCCATATTTTAGAGGCTGCAAATTTAATTTTCTGCCATTTTTTGCATGAAAGAAATGCTTTAACGATGAAACGATTATCAAAATAGTTGGCAATCAGTCGACTTAACGTTGCAGCTCTAATGTAAAGCATTACAGTGGGACACAGTTCATTAGATTTGCCTTTCATTTGTTTACATTTTTATATGGAGAAACTAAAATATCCAGATAAATCTCCCTGTTATTATTGTCAAGTTGATTAATGTGCATTCGTTTTTCTGTGGAAAGAGTTTCACATTTTCTCCTTCATCTTAAAAGCTTCTAATTTGATTTTTAAGAAACAGGGATCTTCCGTACGTAGTCAAATCATTTTCTTTCTCCGTCGTTTCTTCTTCTCTGGTCTCAGCGGATGACATGGGTCTGGGGAAAACCTTGACTATGATCGCTCTCATACTGGCCAAGAAGATCAAAGCTAAAGTGGAAGTTGAGAAGAAGGAAGAGAAGAAGCTGGAGGGCTGGATCTCCAAATCCGGTAACTAAAACCTTTTTTCTCTCACTGTGCAATCATGACGTAACAACAGAGTTCACCTCCAGAACTCAGGATGATCTGATGAGTTTGGTTTTCGATCATCCAGACTCCGGCCTCGTGGTTTCTAAAGGCACCCTGATCATCTGTCCCGCCTCCCTGATCCACCACTGGAAGAGGGAGATCGAACGACACGTGAAGACGGGCAAGCTGACGGTGTACCTGTACCACGGACCCAACCGGGAGAAAAGGGCCAAAGTGTGAGGGAACCACGCACACATTCACTCCGTTATCTGTGTTCCTGTACAGAACGTTAAACACACAGACAGAGACTCAGAGGTTTGACAATATTCACTTTTAAAATGGGGCTACAAACAATCAACAGCAACGGCAACCTCCGGTTCTGTCGAGTGAAGCCGATGCTTCATGTGTTAAAGCTGCATTCTCTCTAGTGTCCACCAGGGGGCGACTCCTCTGGTTGTATAGAAGTCTATGAGAAAATGACTCTACTTCTCTCTTGATTTATTACCTCAGTAAACATTGTAAACATGAGTTTATGGTCTCAATCTCTAGTTTCAAGTCTTCTTCAATACAGCATGATGTTCATTTAGTACATTATGGTCCATTTAGAGTCAAACAGACCATAAAGCAGGGGATGCTTTAGGGCGGGCTACACGGTGATTGGCAGGTCTCTACCAGAGACGTCTACAGCGTCTCTTCCTCACTCCTCCTCAGTCCAGATATGGTCACTTCCTGTTCACTGATTGCAGAAAAACAAGATGGTGACGGCAAAATTGCCGAACTCAAGGCTTTTAAACGAACCAATGAGTGATGACGGCAACAGAACATGTAGTTAGGTGTCCTCATAGCAACCTTCAATCAGTTTTAAATACAGACTCCTCTGTTTATTATCTACGACCACCATTAAGGGACGAAGGAGCGAGCATATTTTTGATGACATCAGCTGTAAAAAGGGTCCATCCATAAAGCAGCAATCACACCCAATTCTCTCTGTTGAAGCCCTCACAGTCAAAGTGAATGAAGAGCTATCTCTCCGTCCCTCAGGCTGGCTGATTTTGACGTGGTGGTGACCACGTACAGTCTGGTCTCTAAGGAGATCCCAGTCCAGAAGGGGGACGCTGAAAACCCCTGCAAAGATGCTGATGAAGTGGTGAGTAATATATATATTCATGTTCTGACTGCAGCAGCATTTATCAGCTTTAAAGCTGTAACTTGTAACAAAACATCCAAACTATCATTTTAAATGACTGGATTCTAAGTGTTCAGGAGTCTTTTGGGACCAGAACCAGTGAACTGAGACTCCTGTTCACTTCATCCCACGTTCATCCTCAGCCGCCACGCTCCGCTCCTCTTCTGCGAGTGACCTGGGCCCGGCTGGTTCTGGACGAAGCCCACAACATCAAAAACCCCAAAGTGCAGACCTCCATGGCCATCTGTCAGCTGAGGGCTGGAGCCCGCTGGGCTGTGACTGGTACACCGATCCAGAACAACCTGCTGGACATGTACTCGCTGCTCAAGTAAGACAACGAGTTTTAAAACTGGTAGAAATGTTTACTCTGGACATGTGGGGGGCTTCCAATGGGGGGCCACTTTATATCCAGTGAGGCTGGTGTGTTTAACTTAAAGTAACAGTGAGGAACTTTTATCTGGTCCTCAACCAGTCTGAGTTTAGTCCAGATCCTCTATCAGACCTCCATCAGTCCAGAGACCATCAGAGAGAAGATGGTCTGTTTCTATAGAGTTATTGTTGATGCTCGTCATCGGAGCCACCGGGTCGGATTCTGGTGAAACCAGATGAACTCATGCAGGTTCACCAGAACCTCCTTCAGCTCAGACTCCAGCAGAGACCGGTCCACCGTGGACAGACCCAGATCCTCCAGCAAGAAACTCTACCACCACTTTAGTCCAGACCATTCTGTTTTTATGAAGTTCATCCTCACAGCTCGAGGCGGTTAATTGTAATGAGATTCTGTTCGTTCACCGTCTGTCTCTGTCTTCCAGGTTTCTGCGTTGTTCTCCGTTTAATGAGTTCAAAGTGTGGAAAGCTCAGGTGGACAACGGCTCGAACCGAGGCAGAGAGAGACTCAACATCCTGACGAAGACTCTGCTGCTCCGACGGACCAAAAACCAGCTGGACTCAAAGGGAAAACCGCTGGTAGGGACGAACACGCACACCTTATGAGCTCATTCCATTATGAAGGCCACAACCATCTGTTATTGATTATGAACACTCTGGGTCCTGGTTCCAGGTGTCTCTTCCGGACCGGACCTGCGAGGTGCATCGACTCAAACTGTCCCAGGATGAACAGGCCGTGTACGATGTGGTCTTCGCCCAATCCAGGTAACACGACGCTTTTCTTATTTGTTCATTTAACAGAAGAGTTGTGAGAAAACCAGAGACTGATGTTATGAAGCCTCGAGTTCGGCAATTTCGCTGTCGCCATCTTGGCTTTTTCTCAACCAGTGAACAGGAAGTGATCATATTTGGACTGAGGAGGAGTGACGTAGAGACGCGTAGATGCGAGGTTGCTTCCTGGAGAAAACGGATCCCATATGTTTTTGTGTTGTGTTGCCTTTTCTTAACAACTTAAGATATTTCCTGAACACATTTTATTATCTACTCGCAGTGTGTAAGAATGAAATCGGGACTAATAATGTTCCGTTTAAACTACTCTGACTAAAGGATGCTTATGACATCTCTCAGCTCTAAATGTGTATAACTACATTAAAAAGGCATGTTAAGTGTTTCTGGATGCAGTAGATAGATCAGTAATAACAACATAAATTGATGATTTTCTCTTTTCCTCCAGGTCGACTCTGCAGAACTACCTGAAGAGACACGAAGGGAGCGATGTGACGAAGGGAAACGCTTCCAGTTCTAATCCCTTTGACAAAGGTGACATGTTTGTTTCATGGTCCTCAAACGTGTGTTATCGTGTCTCTCTATAGATGTGTGACTCATTATATGGAATCATATTTGTGCCTCAGCACTGAGGACGCAATCTGACGTTTTCAGCACAGAATTTTTTTGCGGGCGAATAAATTATATTTTATTGAGAAATTATTATCAGAAAGAAGAAGAATTTACAGCTAATCTGAAACTTAGTAGATAACTTCTGCTCCGGCTGTTTCATCTCCAATTGCAAGAAGGATCATTAGAGCGAGTTTACACTTTTACATTTAGAATATTTGTAATGAATGTCTTACTTTTTATTTATTTTTACATTTAAACCTTTTTATTGAGGTTTTCAAATGAAGCTTTGATTGTCTGCCGTCACATTTTCAGATTTCATCAACCTGTAAAATAGAGAAACGTGTTGTTTTGTGCCAACAAGTATGGGTTGAAGCAGAATATTTCATCAGATACAAACATGTTGTGAATTTTGGAAATTATAGCATCCATCTTTTTTTCGCTGCCACTAGTGGAATCTAATTTATACAAATAGTATAAAACTAATAATGTCAGTGTGGTCTGATCTCTATGTGACACGGTGCAGAAATACTGGCTTTAAAAGAAATGAATAAACATGCAAATAAAATAAATAAATGCTGAATTCAGATGAATGAATGAAGCAACAAAATATTCCATACAACCTTTTAAATATATAATTTACCTGAATCATAGTTTGGCCTCATCAAATATGCACTCAGAAATTGTTTTTTTTATCTTATTTTTATTTAAAATTGTAAACAGTATGATGTAATAACATCAACTCTCTCTCCAGTGGCGCAGGAGTTTGGTGTCTCTCAGACTGACGCCGCTGTGTCGACTTCCCAGCAGCCCCAGCAGGCGTCCAGCACCGTCCACATCCTGTCTCTGCTGCTGCGCCTCCGTCAGTGCTGCTGTCACCTGTCGCTGCTGAAGAAGGTACACACACACACACACACACACACACACACACACACACACACACACA